TATCCATGTGGAAAAGAAAAATTGAAAAAACAGAAGGAATAGAACTGGGCAATGGAAATATAGTGAAAGCATTAGCAAAAGATGATTGTTACAAGTACCTAGGCATATTGAAAACAGATAACATCTTGAATGGAAAAGTCAAAGAGTCAAAACAAAAGGAATCCAAAGAGTCCGCAAAATATTAAAATCAAAGCTGAATGCTGGAAGCATAATTAAAGTCATTTGATACATGTGCAGTTCCAGTGATACGCTACCTCAGCTGGAATCATCAACTGGACTTTGGCTGAACTGGAAAACCTGGACCAGAAAACGCACAAACTTTTGAATATGTACCATGCTTTACATACACAAAGTGACATCGACAGATTGTACCTGCCAAGAAAAATAGGTGTTGGGGCTATTTCAAATCCATCGAACTGTAGAAGAAGAAAAATGAAGTTTGAATAATTATGTGAACCAAAGTACAGAAAAATTGCTGCAAGCTGTGAAAACGGAGAACAGTATAAAAACAAGAGAAACAAAGGCAGAATATAAGGAAAAACAGCTGTAACAGTGATACCCATTGTCATCAGGGCACTTGGCACCATGTCCAAGAATTTTACAAGATACATCAACAAATTGCAGCTTCCTGTAATAACTGCAAAAAGCTGCGCTACTCGGAACATCTTATATTTTAAGAAGGTACTTTGTTGATACCTAGGATGCTGACAGCAACCCGTATCAACCATTAGCATCAGTCATTAGTATTTGTGATGCATTTTTGAATGTTCAGTTGACTGAATTTCATGTTTAATGAATAAAAATAATAATAACAACAATAATAATTCTGCCACCGCCTCCTCCTCCTCCTCCTCCTCCTCCTCCTCCTCCTTCATTTCATCTGTTTCCATAGGATAAAGTAGAGAATAACAATTCAACAGTAATTCTAAACTGTTAGCTCTACAGATGCAGAATGTCAGGGTTCCGAGCAGTGGCCTAATGCAATTAAGGGTCTCAAGCCATCCAGCAGTAAAACTCCAGGCTTTTATTAGTAGCACCATGCCGGCATTACCTAGGACCGTGGTGGCGAACCTATGGCACGCATGCCGGAAATGGTATGCAGAGTCATCCAGCATGGGACATGCAGCCTCGCTTGCATTTCATCCACATTCCTGGGTACACACGTGCACCGGCCAGTTGACTTTTGCATGTGCGGGAGCGCCAAAACCTGGAGAGCAGCTTTCTGTCTCACGCTGGCACTCAAACCTCTGGGTTTCCATTGCACGCATGTGCAATGGCCAGCTATTTGTTGGATGGATGCCCTGGAAACCAGAAGTTTGGTTGATGGAACAGTGCTCCTCCCGCGCGCACAAAGGCTGCACATTCCTCATGGGATGTGCCATTTCCGGCACGCAGGTCAGCACATGGTGACGAAAAGGTTAGCCATCACTGACCTAGGTGAAGCCAACTCTGACTTCACGCCCTTCACGCCTTTCCTCTGACCCTATTTCCCCCTTCCCCCAAAGTGTGTCACCCTGTCACATTGCGCAATGAGGTAATTTCACGGGTTCATGATGTACATACATACATACATTTGTATTTTTAAATGTCACTTTCTTTTCATCCATTGTCTAACCATTATGATGACAGCCTCCCCATCTATCCGTCCCCCTCTATCCCATCCTCTCCTCCCCGCCCAGCTCTTTATCAAGACCTCCTAACAATTAGAAGATTTTGCCTCTCCTCATGTTGAGCAGAATGTGTGAAGGAACTTCTAAAAGTATCCTCAAGTTCAGAAGTGTCTAACTCGCTTCCCAAAGATTAGCCCATCGGTACAGGTAGGTCAGAGGCAGAGTTTCCATGCAGCTGCTTCCCTCCACTCGCTTTTCATTCTCGGGGAGCTGCAGGTGGCCCGGCTGACCCTTTAAATGCAGCGAAAGAAGAGTAAAACCTCCTTGGGGTTTGATACTTCTTTCCTCCTTTTCCTTCCTCTTTTTTTCCTAGCTTTCTGTCCATTAACCCTGAAGAAAAGCCTCCGGTTAATGACCATGTTACTAACTTAACAACTGTAGTGTGTGTACACTCTCTCACACACACACACAAAAGAATCCCAGACAGAAAAAAAGCAGCTTCCCCACCATGGGCTTCGACAGCAGGCAAAGGGAATAGAGAGAGACGGCGGCAAGGCTGCCTTTTGCGGGGAGAGCAGGAGCTTGGCCAACCGCAGAATGGTGCCCCGGGGCTGGGATCCAAGGCACGCTTAACTAGGCGAGGAACTTGTGCGGACCCACCCGGGCGTGGGAACTCAGGAAAAGAATGGAGGGGAGGGGGGCATGCAGAGAAGAAGAAGCATGCCGAGTTGTCATCAGGGCTGCCGAAGCTTGCAAGGGAGATCTTGAAACGGAGGATCCCAAGGCTGTGGACGCGGGGCTTTGATCTGGTGATTCTGAGATCAGCGGCCACGAGGGATTGGCGAGGATGACCGGCGCTTTTTTCCTCAACCTCGAACTGGGTTTGATTCCCAGCATGCCTCTTGATAAGCTGAAGAGAATGTGATCCAAAAAGGAAAGGAAAGTGTCTGAATTAGGACAGACAAAGACGAGAATTCCCGCTTCAGGGAAACCCGGTGGGTCTAAATTGAAGTTTGCCTGTTCTTTGTGGCAGCTGCCCTCAATTAGGGATCCCATCAAGAGATCTTAATCCATTAATTGGCCATTTTAATGGCGGACATACCGCCGGAGCAGCCAAAAGCCTCTTTCTGGACAGCGCTTGACAGCATTGTTGGGGCCCAGGGATCAATTGCCCCAGAAAAATGGCCAATTAATGGAGATATGCATCTAGATTTTTAAATATATTTTTATTAATTAATTGAGATATGCATCTAGCTTTTTTAATATTTTTTTTTATTTTTATATATACATCAATATCAATACATGAACGGTGAGGCATCTGGTTACCGTTCATTTTGATACAAATAACAATACTAATATCAATTAAACACATACTTCTATTTGTATTAAGATATAAACCTTCATTGTTTAATTATTCAATAGTTCTAAGTATCATACTAATGCCAATTACAATATTGTTTAAGCATGTATAATAATACTATCTAATCTTTCAATTTAATTCTTTAATTTATTGTATTTAATCAGGCCATCCTTACTAATCCTGGTATAGTATACATATTGTATTAAAATCTAATTCTCTTATTCCATCTTGACAACAATCACCATATTATTTAAACATGCATATTAAATCCATCTTTCAACCTCTAACCTTCCATCTATTTATTAGTTTATAATATGTATATTTTATTTCTACTTCTATTCTTTTAATCAGGTCCCCATTATATTAAAAGAATGAAGGGGAACCCCCCCCCCACAAGAAATAACATTTCCTTTCTATCCATCATCTCTTGCCCATTTTAATATTTCAATTCTTATTTGTGTTTTGGCATACCTCCCATACTGCTCTCTTGGATCTTTGTCTCTATATACCTCTGCATTTTTACTCTTTAGTCTAAGTCAGTGTTTTTCAACCACTGTGCCGTGGCACACTAGTGTGCCTTGACATAGTGTAAGGTGTGCCGTGGGAAAACACTTTATATATAGTCAATATAGGCACAGAGTTAATTTTTTTTAACATTTTCTAATGGTGGTGTGCCTCGTGATTTTTTTCATGAAAAAAGTGTGCCTTTGCACAAAAAATGTTGAAAAACACTGGTCTAAGTATTCCTCCCATCTCTATCCTCTTATATTGCCAAGACTCCAGGGTATCTGTCCAAACCCCTATCTCTTTTTCAATGGGTTGTGTGTGGGGGTGGAGCGCCCACCATGGCCTCCTGCTGCTTGAACAGGGAATCAGCTCATCAAAGAAAAGAAATAAGAGTGACATCATTTTAACTGAGCTAGATTATATTCAGGATATTGCCTATCAGCTTGAGCCTCAAAGCCTGTGCAAATGTACAGTTTGTACACCTCTAAAATCATTGCAGGAGTCAAACTTTTCACCATGTAATTATGGACAGGGAAGCAATGAATCTGAATCTTTGCTAGGTTCCTGAGTCAGTCATGAAGGCTCAAGAATTCTGAGAGTTGACGTTCACAGGTCATAAAGGGGCCATAATTGCCCCCCACCCAAGTATACCCTCCCTAAAAATAAGAATGGCTTTGATTTAGAAATTGCATGTTTGCACAATTGAGAAATCTTCCAGGAGGCAGATAATGAATGGACTTATAACTTCCCCTATTGGAGATGGGAGCACAGTAAAAAAAATGTGGTTTTGATCAATTTAAGTACCCAAACAATATGGAATATTTTAGCTATATACAAACTTCTTCTAATCTGTTTTGCGATCACAGAGATTGTGCAACTGCTACTACAGGAAGTTCTCAACTTACAACTGGTGACCATTCAAATTTACTACAGAACTGAAAAAAGTGACTCATGACCAGTCCTCACACGTAGCTGCATCCCCATGGTCACGTGATCAGAACTCAAGATGCTTGGCAACCTGCCTGTACTTAGGACAGTTCTGGCATGCCAGAATCCGGGATTGCTGTTTGTGACCTTCCCAGCTGGATTTTAAAAAGTCAAATGTGGGAAAACAGATTCACTTAAGGACCATGTGAGTCACTAAACAACCAGAGTAATTCACTTAACAACAGTGGCAAAAATGGTCATAAATCGGGCACAATTCACTTAAACTGCTTCACTTAGCAATGGACGTTCTGGTCCAAACTGCAGTCGTAAGTCGAGAACTATCTGTATTGTGTCAATGATGTGTTTTATAAATAATATGTGTTTTAATTTGGTAGCCGTTTTTCTTTTCTGCAGCATCAGACCTCGTACTTAATTCCATATTTGTCACAAAAAAACAAACGTCATCTAGAGTATAAACAAAATAAACAGCCTCCATCATCCATTGTAAGGAGTGTACAGTACTTTTTCATAAATATGCTGATGATTTGTAGCACAAATTCTTGATTCTAGGAAATAATTATTAAGAAAAATAGAAGAACTTTTAAAACTTGCCACCATTTAATTTGGTGTTTAAAAGCTGTAATTGAAAAGGAAACAAGCAAGCTGGACCAAGAAATAAAGTAAAATGAAATGCATTGCTTCTCCTGAAACCTCTTTTGCCAACAATTCTCATACTTCCTTCTTGTTTTACTGAGATTTGGTATCCATGTTATCGTAAGTCGGTGGAGGATGAGGAAGAGGAGGATTTGGTTCAGCTGCAACTGCTCCACCTCTGATGACTTGGTAAGGCACAAAAACCATGGGTGGCTGTAACAGAAAAGAACAGCCAACACAATAAGTACTCAGGGACACATCTGCTACTCTAGGTAGGAGGAATAGATTCTCCAGTTGTGTGTTTTTAATTGTGATGCTAGCAGTGTCCTAACAGGCTGAAATTCTTGATAGCTCAAAGTCCTGAGAGAGAATTCTTTAAAACTATATATTAACATGCAAATGTTTAAGTAACCTTTCCTGATCAAATCTGCCAGCCTTATCCACATATTCAGAGAATATCTGCTCAGGATCTCCCACCTATCTACCAAGAGGTATGACAGGAAGTCCCTCAACAACCCAATGAGTGTCCTCTGTATGGAGTAGGTGACTTAAAAGGTGGTACCAACTAGGATGGTCGTCTAGTAAGTGATAAGAGAAGTGAACTGGCTTCTCCTGAGGACCTTCAGAGACTGATTTTATTTTGTGTGTTACTTTTGGTTCCAGTTATATATTGCTTATATTTTATGTTTTGAATTTGTACACAACTGTATTGTTGTAAATCTCCAAGGCTCCAGCTTAATTGAGGAGCAAATAAATAAATAATATTCTCATGATTTTTTTCACAAAAGCTGCCAATTATTGATTTATTTTAACAATTTAAAGGCTCGAAGAAGATCCATTTCCCTCCAGGGGAAAATGGAGATCATTTTTTGATTTCTCAATTGGCTTCAAATGACAGTGGTGAGAACCGATAAAGGAGAATATTTGTAGCTCAGAGTTTAAATGAGGGTCTCTGAACTTGCTTGTTTCTTTGCAGATAGTTTATGATCCAAATAATAAATCGGTACTGATGATCCAAAGGTGTTTTTTTCAAGAGGCAACTGCACTTTCTGGCTTTTCTTTGAAGACTTTTCACTTCTCTTCCAAGAAGCTTCTTCAGCTCCTTTGGGACATCCATGACCTGGATGACTGAGAATATCCATATGCACTGCACTGATGATGTTACCCAATTTGAATAATGCAATTTCTGCAAGAAAGCAACCAAACTAGAAAGCACCATTTTTTTAAAAAAATGAAAAAGACCTATTTTTTTCTTCAAAAAATGGAAGCATTCTGGAAAAATGGGATCAAGTGACAGAACCTTTAAATTAATATAGTCACACTACTAAAGTAAATATATACATTTAGAATTGAGCCCTCTTAAATGAGGACATGAATTTCTGCATCATGGAATTATAAAGGGACAACAGAAACTGTGTTGTACTCATGACAATCACTCTACAGCAAAACAGAAGCTGGGGGGAAAATTGCATCATCTAATTATTCATATGCAGAAGCAAATAAACTACAGGATGCTGGATCAAAATTCAAGCCTCTCCTAGTTTATAAATATTACTGGGTAACCTGAGTAACCAATCTCACTTATTGTTCAGGGTAATAGCAAAGAAACAAATAAAAGGTGAGGTTAGCTGGAGTGTAAATATAAAGAAGAAAAATGGACAATCGTCTTTACATACTTTAACAATGAGAACTGCTAAAGCTATTATCAGAGTATCAAATAGTTACCTGGGCAACCTGGGCAATACAGCAAGCTGCCTGGCACCCAAAGTGAGCCATGGAAACAGCGATGCAAAATTCCAGCACGCTGAACAATAACAGCATACAGGAGATGCCAAAATTGGCACTCTGTAGAGTAGGAAGAGAAGTGGAAAGATAGTTGTAATCTGATGGGAAATTAATGTAATGGTATGTATTGGGAGGAACAATTGCATTGGGAAAAACAGAGACACTGTACAGGTAACCTTCGACTTACAACCACAAATGGGATCCAAATTTCCATTATTAAACGTGGAAGTTGTTAGGTTCTGCCACTGTTGATAAGCAAATTGCTGCAGTTAAGAGAATCATATGGTTGTTAAGTGAATCCAGCTTCCCCCCCCCCCCCCCCTGGCTGCCTTTGTTGATCAGAAGCTGGCTGGGAAAGTCGCAAAGGGGATGCTGGAACTCTCCTAAATAAATTGCTACTATCCAAGCCCCCAAATTTTTATCAGGTGACTATGGAGACACTGCAGCAGTCATAAATGCAAGGAGTGGTCATAGCTTTGAGTGTCACTGAAACTTTGAATGGTCGCTAAATGAATAGTTGTTCATTCAATTAAAGACTGCCTGTACACCCTGTGTAATATGAGAAAAAACTGCATGAGGGAACATTATTAGCATCTCTTATGTTCTGCAGCATTCTGAAGGGAAATTCCAGATATCACTGAGAATCAAATGGGGATCAGCCTTATTTCAGATCAACACATAAAAGTTAAGTTATTGTGCAGTAGCAGGTATTTCACCTGAGCCTTGTTTCTCCTTAATTCACCACAAAATGCTGTTCATATAGGAGGAAGCAGAGAAGAACCCAACGCTCAGTNGTCTTTGGGAGGTAATTGGCAGCAGGCGGTCTCTCAAGTACTCAGGTCCAATACCATGAAGGGCTTTATAAGTTACGACTAGCACTTTGAAGCATATCCGGAGACCGATCGGTAGCCAGTGCAGCTGGCTACGGATAGGTGTAACGTGGGTGTACCAGGATAGGTGTAACGTGGGTGTACCAAGGTGCACCCACAATCGCTCGCGCGGCTGCATTCTGGACGAGTTGAAGTCTCCGAATACTCTTCAAAGGCTGCCCCATGTAGAGGTAAATGAACATATGACTATCTTCACTAGTCTAAGAAAGAACAAGCAATCTATAGACTCTATGCTGCAATTACCTCCCATCGTCTCGTTCAGACAATTCCAAGTCTGCACCAATTATTTTTAAGACATAATTTTCACCAGTGCTAAGGATATAATAAGTGCAGTGAAGGAGGTCACTGTAATTACACCCCCCTCCCCAGAAAAGAACCCTGCCCTTTCCAGCAACAATACAATATTACTAGGGTAGAATAGTTTTTTGGAGAAATTTGGGAGCCTACTTGTTGCCCTTGACCTTGATGTTCACTATTTTGGAAGCAAAATAATTGTTTTTCTACTACAATAAGTATTTTTCTTCTCTTAATGCTGTTCTGATGCTGTGATTAGTCTACCTATGCTGGCTAAGTGCAAGCCCAAGTTACCTGAAATATATTTCTGAAACATATATTTTATATACAGTAGTCCTTGACCTTCAACCATTCATTTAGTGATCATTTTTTAGACCACTTAAGATGATTTTTCACACTTTCGACTGTTGTGGCATTTCCACAGTCACATAATCAAAATTTAGATGCTTGGCAATTGAATAGGTTGGTTGCAGAGTCCCAGGGGCATGTGATCACCTTTTGGGATCTTCTGACAAGTAAAGTCAATGGGGAAGTCAGATTCCCTTAACAAACATGCTACTAACTTAATAATTGCAGTGATTCACTTAATAACTGTAGCAAGAATGGTCATAAAATAGGGGCAAAGCTCACTAAATAAATGTCTCGCTTAGTAACAGAAATTTGGGGCCCAAGATGTCAAGGACTAGCTGTAGATTCAATTACAGATAAAAATTGTCTTCAATTACAGATAAAAAACCCACTACTCATGTTTAGTGCTATTTTTCTCCCAGCCCTTCATACAAACATGTGTTTGACCTTTGGGAACAATTTTTCTCCTTATTCATTAGAGAATATACGGCACTACAGACAAGGAAAAATATTAGGGACTGCCCAAGATCTTTTCTTTTTGCTTTTAATAGCACAATGTTTAATATATTTATTGTATCCATTAATCGGGAGAGAACTTTAAATCTCATATATGATGTATTAAAGTATCATGCTTAATTGTGATATTATTTGTAATATCTGTTTCAGACAGGGGTGGGTTCTGGCTGCCGCTACTGCTGGTTCACTCAGGGATACGCCACGCACACACACATGTTTGATGCGAGCTGTGTGCGCATGCACCAGTGCAACAAAAAGTCCTCTGTGCATGCGCAGAAGGCAAAAACAAGATGGCACTGCCTATGGTGCCGCTGAAAGAACTGGTTTGTGGACGTGGTAGGCCTGGGTCGCTGCTGGTTCCAGAGACCCAGGCCACCAAGTTACTACCGGTTCAGCTGAATCGGTCCAAACCAGTAGGAACCCACCTCTGGTGTCAGACCTGGAAGACATCTTTTATATTGGGTCTTCAGGCCTGCCACATTTCCTACTGTGGAAAAATGGGAGGGAGGATTATATGGAGTATGGGTGAGATATAGTCAAAATAACATTCTTTTCTCAGAGAATCAAGGACATGTTGTCCTGTAGCTGCGAGGAGGTGACTGGGAGGCATCTCCAGTTTTGGATGGTGTCTGATTGGATTATGTGATGGACATGTGAGTGCCACTTGGGTGGGGAAAACTTTCAGATTCAGGTTTTCCCAGATGTGCCAATATGACATCTCTAATAAAATGGAACTTTG